GATGGACAAATTTATGCTTTACATGCTTACTGCTGGTAAAAAAGCTCTGGTGAATGGTGGAATTACTAAAGAAGTTTTGAATGAGCTAGACAAGACGAAGTGTGGTGTTTTTATCGGGTCTGCAATGGGTGGCATGAAGGTAGAATTTCAAAAATATTTTTGATCTGAAGGAAAGTTGTTTCCCCTCCTTTTATCAGCTCTTGGTCTCATATTATGTTGATGAATTGAGCTGTTACACTTTAATCTTAATTTTATGCCTTTATGTATGTTATAGTCGTGGTACTCATAAAGATGGATGCTATTTTTTATAGGTCTTCAATGATGCAATCGAATCTTTGAGGGTCTCATACAAGAAGATGATCCCCTTTTGTGTTACCTTTGCAACTACAAATATGAGTTCGGCTATGCTAGCAATGGATATGGTGAGCCAAAGCAAAATCTGAAGAAAGCTACATTTGCATACTGATCCTTCAATATTTTTTGAGAATTTACTGTTAATTTCTAGAAGCCTACCTTTGCATACAGCTGCTTCAATATTTTTGAGAATTTATTGTTAATTTCGTCTAAGTTTCTTCTTCTCTTCCCTTTGGACTATAGGCTGGATGGGCCCAAACTATTCAATTTCAACTGCTTCTGCTACAAGCAACTTCTGTATCCTGAATGTAGCTAACCATATCATAAGAGGTGAAACTGTAAGTTATCATGTTCTCCCTCTTATCTGTAGTTAGAAGAAAATATACTGTCATTTTTTCTATGTACATAAGTGTGCTAATCTTGCAAGATATCATGCTTTGTGGTGGCTCTGATGCAGCAATAATACCTATTGGTATTTGTTCTTTCTGCTAATGAATGCTATTCTTCCTCACTGTTTTACCTTCATGGTCTTTATTAATATTACTATTGTTATTATTATGATAATAAATCATCATACATATCATCGTCTTCGTCGTTGTCCAGGATTAATTGTATACTTGACATGCGCAGGGTTGGGAGGTTTTGTGGCATGTCGGGCACTTTCACAAAGAAACAATGATCCAACCAAAGATTCACGACCATGGGATAGTGTATGTATAGATAGATGAATGATGACAGAGTTCAAAAGGAGATACTTTTTTTGTATTTGTGCTTATACCTGTGTAGATGTGCAATCACTTATTATCAAGATTACGATTAATTGGCACATTTATGTTAATATCTAGCTTAATTGTCATGTGACATGAACGTGATGGATTTGTTATGGGAGAAGGTTCAGGTGTATTATTATTGGAAGAACTCGAGCATGCTAAGGTTTTATTACAGTCAGCTACCACTAACTTGATGTGATGTGAAGTCTTTATCTAATCATGTTTTGTTAAAATATTTTCATTTTCATGATTGTTTTTCTTCCTTTCTATAGCAAAGAGGAGCAAACATATATGCTGAATTTTTGGGAGGAAGTTTCACCTGCGATGCTTACCATATGACAGAGCCACACCCTGAGGGTAAAAAATAATCTCTCTTTTACATTGAATATTGAATAAGTGTTGCTTGGTCTAATACCTGGTCCTGATTCAGGTATCATAAATAAACTCTTATCCTCATCGAGCCATTATTATTTTTATTGATTTCTTCAATTATTGAGGGTTTTGATCTCTGAGTTTTGTCCAAATTGTGCTTAAAGGGGGGCATTTGCAAGTAATTGGATCCCAAAACATGAAATGAAAAGTTATCGTGAGGAACATAATAGGTAGCTATGTTATTTTTATCTAGCTCAATTCAATTATTGATTTTTTGGGTGTATATACTCCTGTTCCTTTGACCAATTATTGTTTTTTGATCAATTTATGCAATTATTGTGGGTTCTGATAATTGTTTGAGGAATAAAATGGGCAATTATGTTCAATTTCTCTAGCTCAAAGTGAATCTCATGTGCTTTTGAGTCAGATAACTGTTTAGAATGCATTATTTTTCAGTGAGATTTTGCGGAAGCAATAAGGGAACTACATAATGTAGCTTCCAGGACATATCCTCATGCATATTTCGATTCAAGCAATGCAATTTACCATTAAAGCTATTCTATGTTTTAGTAGAATTTCAGCCAATATTCCCGTAATGCTAAATTAGAAGGCTCTGAATGTTAAATAGGTGAGAATGAGAATAAAGTTGTCTTGGATGCATTTTTCTTGGGCAAGGCTTTTGCAACTGCTTCATTTATGATATATAATCGACTTTACATCTTTCAACACTGCCCAACCACCGCTCAAGGGTACCTCCGCTCCCTAACTTCCTCCGCTCCCCAACTGAACAAAATGGAGCGGTAATATTTGGCAATGATTTATAGAATTGCTTGAAAAGTGAAAGGAGAATGAAGAGCAAGAGCACTAGGAATAGCAAGTAAGGAGGTCAGTTTTACTTCTAGAATTCCATTTTGTAAAGTAACCTGCTATTTATCGACACAGCAAACTATGTTGTAACAATGGGAAGATTTTTAGTTAAGATATTCTATCGGTCCCTGGTTGCTGACAAAATATCTAGAGACTCAAGAGAAAAATACGCTGTCGGGGAAATCTTAAGTGTGGTTGGTCAATATCAAGTTGAGCAGCAGAAGCAAGTACGAGATTTTCAGGTAAAAACAAGCACAAAGGTTTCACATACATAACCTATATAGTTGTATACTTGCTGTTCATTTTGATAATCATATGGTCTTTCTTCAATCCATCTATGGCTAATATGTATGATAATATTTTTTTATTCTTGAAACCTTCAAGACTAATATGAAGTAATAAATGAAGAAGTATGAACAAAGTAAAATATTTTTTCCTGTTGAAATAGTTTCCTACATGCTGATTCTCTCCCTTAACATAATTGTAACTCAAACTACTATTCTTTTGCGGTTTACATTAGCATATACTACAGTTGAAGATGAAGTTTTAGGAGGCCAAGAGAAGGAGGACGAAGAAAGACTAAATCCAGAGAATGATTCTCTCTTTCCATTCAACGAGGCAACAATTATCACATTTCTCCCTTATTTTGTAGGGTAGTTTAAGCCCTAACGTCAACAAGGATCTTATATGTTGTTTGTATAAGTTTTTGTATCCTTTTTTGTTGTTTTTCTGTATAGGTTTTTAATTTTATATGTTGTCTGTACAAGGATCTTATTTGTTGTTTTTCATGTTCAATATATGAAGGAGCAAATTGTAACCGTCTTCGATTCACTTTACACATGTTCAATATTTGTAGAAAATCTTTTAGAAACCGTGCTTTGCACGGGTCTAAATATATACACACACACACATATATAAAATATATTATATATACATATATTATATATATATATATATATATATTATATACATATATATACATATGTTATACATATAAAAAAACAAAAAAAAAATTACTATTCCGGGCCGACCCCGGGCCGGGCCGGGCCGGGTTCCAACCCTGTCAGAACCCGAGCCGCGGGCTTTTTGGACAGCCCTAACTCTATGCAACATTCAGGGATTCTTACTTCCCTAAACTGACTGGTGAAATATATAAAGTCCTAGTATAACAAAATTTCAGGTCTTGACTATCAAGTATAAAACAGATGGTAAAGATAAGAAGCTTGAATGAAGGGCGGAAGGAAGAGATTTTTCTTTGTAGATAGACTCACATGGAGGGAGAAGAGGAAATGCAATGAATCCTTTGAGTTCAACTCTTTCTGAGGTCAGACAAAGTATCCTAACACAAGTAACACACTTAAAAAAAACTAATGGTTTAAGTAATGGGTCAGAGGACAAATTAAAATGTACAAATTTTCAGAAAATCTTGATGTCAGCTTGATTATAAAAGCTCAAAAAGTAATCCAATGAAGACTATGTGAAACATAACAATCAAGCCTTCTCCTGCTACTTACTGCTAATTATCAAAATAATAAATAGTCAGCAAAAGCAAGAAAAGTAATAGTAATAAAGAAAACAATTATCATATAAAAGAGTCAAGAGTAATATGAATCATAATTCAAGCATAGCTAACAGTTATTGAAGCTGGATTGCAAGAAAAGTCAATAAACAGCAACATTGAAGCTGTGGGGGAAACATTGCCAAACTCTATAATGCAGAAAACTATCACCAATATACAGAACAAACAAAAAGCTTCATGAACAGTTTGGTCAAATAACAGTCTAAATACCTTTGGTGGTTTGAATGGATAATCTGGAGGAAAGTGGATTGTAACTAGAAAGACACCTCCTGCATAAGGACTATCTGGTGGACCCATAATAGTTGCTTGCCAATGGAACATGTCTTCAGCCACAGGACCTGGAAATGCCAGATATATAAAACTTTAGTAATCTCATTAGTCAGTTTCATGCAAAAAGCGTCAATCCGAATCTTTTATTGTGTGTGCATGCATGTGGATTGACATGTATATGCTTAGTTTCCTAGCATGATAAGCAGTAAGAGGGTGGCTAGATGATTTTCTTTTTGTTACAGTGGATCAAAGATGTGCTTTCCAAGTTTATGCCACTTTTAAGTTTAGGTGCCTCTATTGTCACATCTCTTGAAATTTTAGTGCTTGAAGGCTGGTGTAGCAGTGATGTAAGGGATAAAAGAATGCTTGTTGATAGAGTTTAATATGAAATGGAAACTTTACACCAGGACAGTATTCTCACGATGAAGCCTAATCCAAATTCGCAAACAAATGAGCAGAAAGAAGAACAAAACTTAGGCGCCATAATAAGGGCCGACTTACCAAATTTAATCTGATTCAAGAGCTGGGTATTTCTAATACATTAAAGTATATGGTCAGCCAGCACTAATTCAAGTAATATTAACAACGTTTAGTTGATATTGATTTGCTCTGTTTGCATAATGCTTAGCCAACACTAACCAAGTAATATTAACAAGGTCTAGCTGATATTTATTTAAGTAATATTAACATTAAAAGTACTTGTCAGAGAACTTAAATAGAGTAAACCTATGGTGCTGGTAAGGTCAGGACCATGGCCGTCCGTCTCAGCTTAGCCAGCCGATATGATCACTGAAACCACAGGCTACTTCACATCACTCAGTGCCCAAATTTAATGGCAACTAATGCTTCGTGAACTTTTCTATATTACAGAAGAAGGAAGAACAATGTGTTATTACATCATCAAAGTCGTGTACATTCCACCCTGAGGCCTTGCTCATTTATTTAAGGGTTGGGGATGGATACAGGGAAGTGCGAGGAATATTCCTGATAATGTCTTTATTTAATACTAATCATGTTAAAAAATAAAGAAACATATGAAACAAAAATGCATGAGACAGTTTATTCGAGAGCAGCATTCATTTGGAGCAATAAGTGTAAAATTCCGAGACAAAAATAACTATCTTCCTCTCAATTATGTGGACTGCTCAATATTCAACAAAACCCTACAGGAATAGACAATCAAAGCCTACTAATCAAACTGATAATGTATTTTCAGGTGACAATACATGATTTAAATCAAGCATAACCTGAGTGAATGTATATAAAATTACAGTATTTACAAATTAGATGAATTTTGCACGATATACTTTTTTCGCATAGACCTTTGTGCACAATGTATCATATGCACATTCTCAAAATAAGGCATGGACAAGAAAAAAGGCATGCTTCAATTTAAAGTTTCGGAGCACATGATTTTATTTCAAGCACACAATTCTCATATCCCTATTAAATTATAAAAACCATAGTGAGGGATCGAGAATAAAGCAAATTTGAATGAATTGTGAACAATTCCTCGCTCTATAGCTTAGCTTTTAGGGAAGTTGTTATTTGTCAAGGGTAAGTGGTTATTTTGGAAAATTTTGATAGAATTGACATCATTCAAATTTCCATTCAAAGCTACAACCTCTAAACTATAGGGTATGAAAAATGCAATTAACTTATTTTACAAAATAACTAAGACAAATAAGTTTTAATATTCAATGGGGTTAATTGGATCTGGTCATTGTATTTATCTATAATTGGACGTTCATACCTATGTTTTAATTGCTTGGATGATTGGTCATATGTAGCTAAATGCTAATGGGATCGTTGATCACTTCTAATGTTTTCTGCCAAGTAACATAATGTGTTTTCGCTTACCTGACATTAAAATTCTTAATCATTTAGCATAACAAATTTATTCTTATTTGTAATATCTTAATCACTTATGGAAATAAAATTTTTATTGTATCCGGCAACTTGTATAGGAAACTATATTGCATTCGGCATTTTGTTCTTGAAAATATAAACTTGTGACATATTGAGTAAGTTGCATTGATTGAACAAAAATGAAAATATTGTTAACTTGACTCGGTCATTGATGACCAAATCAACCACGATTTCTCTGTTTGAGAGAATGGTGGAGAACGTGAATCTTGGGTGGTTGAGAGAAAATCTCTCATGGGGCGGATCTGAGGGGTAGAGATGATGGGTTAAGCCCCTATATAAGGAGGACCATTATCCTTGAGAAAACACAACGAAAATCAAAGAAAACCCACTTTACCCATTACCAGATCCCCTCAAAAATCTGTTCTTTCTTCTTCCTTGAGTTCAAACACTAGTATCAGAGCAGCTGCATCGATCGGCCATCTCGAGCTCTGCATCAATCGCCTTCGACGACGCTGCGATCAACGACCACGACGACTCCGCTGCAATCGACGACCACGACGACAACGACTTCGATCACTCGACCGCTGCTGCGACTTCGACGACTGCTGAAGGAGAATACGTCGTTGATCAACACGGGAGTTTACGTGAAGGAGGTTCAGTGAATCGTCCGCGCCGTTCGTCGGTGGTTTCGTCGCTCATTTCTTTTGCCCCTTTTCTCCGGATCTGAAGTTTTTCGCTGCCCTGTTAAACCTTCCGAAGTGGTGTCATCCTCTTCAAGAACGAACGAGCCTAGTCTTCACTCAGCCCACAACCAGCTTGAGATTATCAAGAACTCACAGGCCCAGTTACAAAGCCCATTCATTTTTTTATTTGTTGAATTAAAACCAAACCCATCTGTTTTTAAATCAAAGCCTTTGCTCTGCCCACATACAATTCACTCAGCCCACATTTCAAAGCCCAATAACAAAGCTCACGTTTCTCTCAACTGACCATGCCTTTCATTTGTTGAATTACACAAGTGTTGGTCAGTTCGAACCGAGAGTCACTTGTTCTATCTACTGGATTCTTTTCAAATACAAGCTACACCAACTCAGATCAGAGAGTTAATTGTTCAATCAATACCGCTAAGTGACTCGCGCAAATTGGAGTCTCTTTCATCAACTCGGAACAATCAGGTTCATTTTTATTTATTTATTTCCCCTAACATTATTATATTTTAGTATAATTGTCAACATATCAACCTTATACATATTTTAAAATTGAATTTAGTTTTAGTTCTTTACCGAATGGCTAGTAAACTCGTTCTATCAGAACTAGAAAAAAATTGACAAATTTAATGACAGTAATTATGATATGCGGCATAGAAAAATAGGATATGTTCTTATTCATGATAATATTGATGATATAATCAAAACCAATGCTCAAACCTTTACTGATAAATCAACACCTGAAGAAAAGAAAGGGTTTGAGCAGTGGAAGTCGAAAGACAAAAAGGCGAAAAGCCTTATGCTCATGTTCATGGAAGATAATTTAATAAAAGTTTTTGAAACTTATAAAACTTCCATGGATATGTAAAATGCAATAAAAGAAAAATACGACAATACTTCTGAAGTTAACATTCAACTCCTCTTGCATAAGTATAATTCTTGTCGTATGCAAGAGAGAGACAATGTCGTAGAACATATAAATAAAATGATTATCATGGCTAAGGACTTATCCACTGCTGAGACCGAAATCCCGGAAAGAATGCAAGTGATAACCATTTTGAATAGTCTTCCCCCTTCACTTGCAGTGGCTGCCACCACATTAAGAATGAATCCTGCCATTAAGTCTGTCACTGATCTTCCTATGCACCTAGCGATAGAACATGACTTAATAGCCAGTAGGAAGGAACCAGAACTGAATATGGTACAGCAGGAGCTGAATTATGTCCGCCAGAGACATAATACTAGAAGCTATAAAAACCCTGATCCTAGTAAACCACAACCGTGAGGACCGAAGTCACTGGAGTTCAAAAAAAAAGTACCCTGCGGAGCCTGCTACAATTATGGAAAATTCGGGCATTTCAAGCCCAATTGCCCACAAGATGAAAAGCAGGAGAATAAGGGAGGCTATAAACATTCAGAACAATGGGGTAATAGCAAAAGAGAATTCGTCGGTGTGATGGAATGTAATACTGTGATGACGGATATCAGTGGTTGGTGGATCTACTCCGGTACGACTAGGCATATCGCAAAGGACAAGAATGGAGTCGTAGAATTTACCGAGCTGAAGAAAAGAGAACAGAGAATCTATATGGGAAATAAAACCTATCTCGATGTAGAAGGTATTGGTTCGTATAGATTGGATCTTGGGGACAGCATTCTTGTTCTCAAAGATGTGTTCTATGCGCAATCTGATCTCGGTTCCCAGCTTGATGAAGAAAGGACTGGAAGTGAGGCTCTATAATAACAGGGTTTCTATAGGCAAGAATAATAAAGTGTATGCTATGAAAAAATATGTGCCCGAGCATGAATTATGCATTCTTCCAATAGTTTGTAATAATTCTGATAATAAAATTTCGAATTTGAACTACTTGTCCTGTTATAATTCTGAGTCTGAATTGTGGCATTCTAGATTAGGACATGCTAGTATTTTAAAAAGAAAAAAAATTATCAGAATGAACTTGCTTCCTGCACTATCTAATGTTTAATTACCACTATGTGAACATTGTTTAACTGGTAAAATGACTAGAAAACCTTTTATTGACGGACAGAGAGCCAATGAACTTTTAGGATTGATACACTCGGATATTTGTGGTCCCCTAAGTGTCAAAACTCATAGTAATAAAGAATATTTTATTACTTTTATAGATGATTATTCCAAGTTTGCACACGTCTATCTTATATCTAAAAAATTAGAAGCTTTTGTCTGCTTTAAGAGATATAAGACAGAAGTTAAAAACCAACTTGGATTAAAAATCAAAATTTTGAGAACTGATAGAGGTGGGGAATATAACTCTAAAGAATTTGAAAGTTATTGTATTCAGCATGGAATTAAAAGGCATACAACAATGCCGTATACGCCACAACAGAATGGTGTTGCTGAAAGAAAAAACAGAACATTACTTAATGTAGTTAGATGCATGTTGTCTCATTCTGGTCTCTCTAAAAACTTTTGGGGAGAAGCATTGTTAATTATAAACTACATTCTAAATAGAATTCCCACCAAATCAGTTGTATCTACACCTTATGAATTATGGAATGAGAGAAAACCTAATTTGAGTCATCTCAAGAAGTGGGGATCTATAGCTCATGTTCTCATTCCATATCAACTTAGAGATAAGTTGGATTTTAAAACAATAAAGTGTAGATTCATAGGGTATTCAGAAAAAATAAAAGGTTATAAGTTCTATAATAAAGAAAAAGAAGTCATTGAAAACAGAGATGCTACATTTCTAGAAAATCTAGAGGAAGAGGAACAAGTTCAAGAGGAAACGGAACCTCTAACTGTAATAGATGATGATTATTACAGTGTTGTTCCCACTAATGACCCTGATATTGTGAATGAACATAACCTTGAAAACGATGAAATACCTATGGAAAATAATATACCTAATCAACCAGTTGTAGGCAACAAAAGGCCAAGAACACAACCTTCATGGATGGATGATTACTATTTTTATTCATGTGAGTCATCATGTTTCTCGGTAGATACAAATGTAGAAGAACAAGATCCCTTAACCTTTTCTGATGCGATGAAATCGCATGAATCAGCTTTATGGCTAGAATCTATGAGAGAAGAACTTGCTTCTATAGAAAAGAATAAGGTATGGGAGTTATGTGATCTACCAGAAAATAAAAAAGCCATAGGATGCAAATGGGTGCTCAAAAAGAAATATCGTGTTGATGGATCTATTGATAAATTCAAAGCACGATTAGTTGCCAAGGGTTATAACCAGAAGGCAGGAATAGATTTTCATGAGAAGTATTCTCCTGTAGCTAAATTTGCATCCATTAAAATTATTTTGGCTATTGTTGCATATCTTGATTTGAAATTATTCCAAATAGATGTTAAAACTGCATTCCTTAACAGAGAGTTGAAGAAAGCAATATATATGTAACAACCTAAAGGTTTCAGGTGAAAGAACAGGAACATAAAGTTTACAAATTAATGAAATCTGTATATGGTTTAAAACAGTCTTCTAGACAATGGTATCTCAAATTTCATGGTGTAGTTACTAAACTTGGTTTTATTCAAAATAAATTAGATAATTGTGTATATGTCTTAAAAAATAGGAGCAAGTTTACTATATTATCCTTATATGTGGATGATATATTGCTCGTTGGAAATGACATAGAAATGTTCTTATATGTGGATGATATATTGCTCGTTGGAAATGACATAGAAATGTTGAATAAAACCAAGGCAGATCTCAGCGAAAAGTTTGAGATGAAAGACATGGGAGATGCATCATATATTCTTAGAATTCAAATAATTCGAGATAAAAAGTCAGAAAGTCTAGAATGCTAAGTTTAAACCAAGAAAAATATTTAAGATCGGTTCTTAAAAGGTTTGGAATGGAGAATTCCAATCCGGCACCAACTCTGTTGGTTATGGAAAAGAGATTATGTAAAGAGCAAAGCCCTGGAGAATGGCAGAAGCCATTAGATGTTCCTTATGCTCAAGCAATTGGAAGTTTGATGTATGTAATGTTGTGCACCAGACCTGATATAACTTATGTTGTGAGTCTAGTCAGTCGATATCAAAGTAATCCAGGACCAGCATATTGGGAAGCTGTTAAAAGGATTATGAAGTATATCAGAGGTACATTGACTCGTAGATTAGTTTATCAAGCTGATTCGCTTGAACTCCTCGGTTATTCCGATGCTGATTTCGGAGGTGATAAAGATGATGGGAAGTCCACTTCGGGACACTTATTCATCTTTAGAGGATGAGCTGTTTCTTGGAGTAGCAAGAAACAATGGTGTGTTGCTAGATATACGCAAGAAGCTAAATAAATAGCTTGCAGTATGACAACTACACATATTGTCTGGATAAGACGGTTTTTGATTGATCTTAATCTCAATTTGTTAGAAGGACCTATTGATATTTATTGTGATAATCAAGCAGCAATTAGCTTAATCAATAGTGGCGCGAACAGCTCCAAAGAAAAACATATTGAGATCCGGTATCACTATATTCGAGATATTATAGAAAAGGGAGAAGTCAAAGTGTCTTATATCCCTACTACAGATATGATTGTTGATCCTTTGACAAAAGGAATACCAACAAAATCTTTTATCAGACACGTAAGTTTGATGGGACTTAGGAATAAATAAGTCCAAGTAAAATTTCATGAATAATGAAATAAGAGTTACTCTCTACGGATAGTGGGAGTAATGGTAAGCAGAAATATCCGATCTCACGGATAATGGGAAGCATGTCACTTGGTTAATTTGGTCAAGTGGGAGATGTTAGCATGACTCGGTCATTTATGACCAAATCAACCACGGTTTCTCTGTTTGAGAGAATGGTGGAGAACGTGAATCGTGGATGGTTAAGAGAAAATCTCTCATGGGACGGATCTGAGGGGTAGAGATGATGGGTTAAGCCCCTATATAAAGAGGATCATTCTCCTTGAGAAAACACAACGAAAATAAAAAGAAAACCCACTTACCCATTACCGGAGCCCCTCAAAAATCTGTTCTTTCTTCTTCCTTGAGTTCAAACAAATATACAACTTAAATTCACCCAAACAAAACACGCCAGAAGTGACTAGTGATCCAATTAGTATATAGTTACATGACTAGTCATCCAAGCAATTAAAACATACCAATGATCAGTGATCCAATTAACCCATATTCACTGCACGTGCTGACATGCTAGTAATAAGTAGAGAATCTCTATTCACATTATAAGAATCTACAATCCCAGTACGAAATTCTTTCAAAGTGCCTAAAATTCATTCTATTCAGAATCCATCAAGATTACAGCTCTGAATAAATTTCTAGATGTGAAATCTAATTTTGAGTGAAAATCTGCGGAAAATCGAAAAGAAATCACATAAAAAAGGGGAATCCTGGATCTGATTATACCTGCACTGCATGATGTTGGCGGATCTTTCTGCAGATCCTTCAATTCCTTCAAGATCCTCTTCGACGCCATCGGTCAATTCCTAATCCCCCACAGAATAATTAAATACTAAATAAATCAATCAAATAAAACGCAAGAAAAAGAGTCAAACCAAATCTAGAGGGGAGGGGGGAGAGAGAGAGGGGGAGCAATTAATACCTTCGATTTCTCTGGATCTCCTCCTCTCTCACGCAACGAATATGGAGAAGAGGAAAGGGCAAATGACGAGGGGATGACTTTTTATACCAATCTTTTTAATTAACTAGTTATTTTAATAAAAATAGTATTACGGGGAAAAGAATAAATATGGAGTAATAATGGCGACTAGGTGGACGAAAGTGAAGATAAAGGCGCGAGTTGATGCGGGTGGCTAAATGAACGGACAAGATGCTATTGCTAGAGAACGGTTGGCTGAATTAACGGTTGAGATATAGTTGTATTGCCGCGTCCAGGAGATCAGGAGAGTTTTCTTGTTTGGTGGGCGGAATTTGATTGGACTTCAAACTAGAATTTTTTTTTTTTTTAATTACATCAGGATTGTTTTCACACGCTTGATCACGACCGTCTGCATGTGAGTGGATGCTTTCAAGCGTGCTGCTTTTAAGCCTTCGATGGGTAGCGTAGGGAAACAAAACTATCATTTCTCCCATCCTATTAAAGGATGAGAATCGTCCGCTCGTATGTAGACGCGTTATGATGGAATCTTACACGACTAGTGTTTGTCAACTGTGAGATTTAAGAATGTATTTGTCAATCTTATAAGCCTATATCAAGATTGAACTTGGCCTAATTTGAATTTTTATGTTTGGTTAAAAAAAATTAGGCTATGATTGACCCAATTATTGTAGGTTAAAGTTTCGGTCCTTAAACTCGTTTTAGCTTAGATTATTCCTTTCCTGATTCAAATTAGAGCTGGTTTAGAACCAAACCGAGTCAAGAATGTCCCGACCAATTTTGGACCAGTTGCTGGTGGACATGCCTCTGAAAATTTTTTTTTTATGTCCACCACTTTAGAAATTAGAATCTTGCTTTTATTGACTTTTTGAGCTTGGCCTTCATTTTTCGTTCATACATCGGAATGAATTCACAGTTTCAGCTTTATTACAAGCTCATTTGTTGAGCAACGGTTCAGAATCTTGCTTTTATTGGTTTTTTTAGCCTGGTCTTTATTTTTTTGTTGATACGTCGGAAATGAATTCACAGTTTCCGCTTTATTTCGAACTCAATTCTTCACCACCGGCTCTTCAATGTCGCATCTTTCAGTTAGGACTACCACTGTGAATGAGGTAAACTTACTGAAAATATCTAAATTCTTGGTATATTTTATCTTATGTACTCTCCTTTGCGTTTATAAAACTATCAAACAGCTCTAAATGACTAGATAATTATTCAAATTTAGTTGATACCTATTTTCTATGTCCTTTGAAGATAGGAACCAAAACCTGAAATTGATAGGTCTCAATAAATATGTATATACATGAGAAGACGGGTGTATATTATTTGTAAATGAATCAAAATAGGTATTATAAACACAAGTCCGTTTTTTTATATAAAATGACAAATTGGTTGTATTCCTAAAGACACAAATAGGGGTGGAAATGAACCAAATAATTAATAAATGGTTCGATAATTGTTCGAATAACTATTCGGTCATATTCGATTCGATAGTTCATTTATCACTAAACAAATATTTTTTAGTATTCGAGTTTATTAACGAATAGAATTTAACCAGATGTATATTCGATTCGTTTGTCTATTAAATATTCGTTTAAAATTTGATCACGGCTTATTATTTGTATTATTGCACATATGATGTCATATTTTTAACCCACTTATCATTTCTACTTAAGTTTTTTATATAGATTTTAAGACTTAAATAATCTTAAATCTGTTTTCTAATTAAAATTTTGATTTAAATATATATACATCATATATTATAAAGAAATAATTTTTATTTATGAATTTTAATACTATTTGAAAATCAAACTCTTTAGCAAAATAAATATACTTTGATATTCGATAAGTATTCGTGAATATTCATGAATATTTATCAAATACCAAGTATTCGAGTTCGAATTCGAAAAACTAGATATATGAATATTAGAGTCCGCATTCGAATTCGATAATTTTAAACAAATACAAATATGAACACCTTAGTATTCGATTCGATTCGATCATTTACCACCCCTAGACACAAAGCAACGTCATTCAAGACACAAAGCAATACAACATATAATGTGTTATTTTAATATGAAATCAGAATTCTCATATAGCCCTGTCCAAAAAGCCCGTCGGCCCGAGCCCGGCCTGGCCCGGGGTCGGCCCGGAAACCCGGGCCAGACCCGGGTCCGGGCCCCCTCGCTCGCGACCCGGCCCGGCCCGGAACAGTTCCGATCGGGCAACGAAACCGGGCCGAGCGGCCTGAACCCGGAGCCCAGCCCGCCCGCAACGGTCACCCTTGAAACGGTCATTTTTTATGTTTTGACCGTTTTGCCCCTTAAAACGGTCAAAAACGACTATTTGGTGAGTGTTTTTTGGTCATTTGCCTAGGAGACTGCCTCTATAAATAGAGAGGGGGGGTTCACTTCTTCTCCTCACACCAAAACTCATCTACTTCTCTCTAATACTCTCTTATACAATCTTATACTCTCTTATAACCTCTTATACTTTCTAATCCTTTCATCAAATGGCTTCTGGATCTGATTATGAAGAGAAAAATCTATTTCCTACCAATATTGAAATGAGTCCTCCTACAACAACAACTACTCCTCCTACTGATCCTACCAGTGGTAATCCCGAATCCGGTGGCGAAGAATCTACACCAAGAGCTCCTAAAAGGTCGAGATCCAATGTGTGGAATTTTTTTTAGAAGATAGACGTCACCAAGGATGAACACGATAGGATCCTCACCAAGAAGGCTAAATGCGTGTTGTGCGGCCGGACTTTCCAAGCTCATCATAAGAGCAGCACCAACCACCTTAAACGCCATATAGAAAAACACAATAAAGGTCAGACTCCTCAAGGTGATATCCGACAATCTATGGTTTCCCAATCCTCCTCTTCTGGTAGTCTTGGTACTTGGAATTATGATGCTGCCCGAGCTAGGAAATACGTCATCAGGTTTATCATTCTTAAAAATCTTCCTTTTAAATTAGTAGAAGACGATGAATTTGAAGATTTGTTTAGAGATGGTTTTTATCCCGATTTTTAAAAAAATTCTCGTCAAACCTGTCAACGTGACATTTTAAAACATTATCAAACGGAACAAGGAAAAATAATTTTTAAAACATTATCAAACGGAACAAGGAAAAATAATTTCTTATTTTAAAAATTTAAACTGTAAATTTTTTTTAACTTCTGATATTTGACTTCTTATTTTAAAAATTTAAACTGTAAATTTTTTTTAACTTCTGATATTTGGACATCTAGAGCACAAACAAGTTATTTATGTATCACAGCACACTGGATTGATGAAAATTGACAAATGCTTAAAAGATTGTTTTTTTATTACAATTGAAGAGTCACATACTGGTATTAATGTAGCCAATTTAATAGTTGAAGAACTTATGAAACTAGAAATTGATCAAAGAATATTTTTCTCTTTCACTAGATAATGCAAGTAATAACAATGTAGCTGTAGATTTTCTCAAAATAACTCTGTCATTGCCCTGTCATGGTGAACTTTTTCATATTAGATGTATATGCCATATTTTAAATTTAATTGTTCAAAGTGCATTTACTAAAATTAAACCCATGATAAAAAAAGGTTAGAACAGTTGCTTATATGCATACTGCTTCTGAACAAAGACTTAAAAGATGGAAATAAATATGTAAAAGAAAAAATATTAAAGCTAGACTAATTCCAAAAGATGTTGACCATAGGTGGAATTCCACCTATGCAATGTTAAGTGTAGCTATAGAATATAAAGAAACTATAAATGATTTTATAAATTATTTTGCTTCTAGTTCTAGCTCTGGTAGCTCTTATGGAATAACTGAAGATGAATGGACAATTATATATAATTTAAATGAGATGTTACAAGTTTTTTATGATGCTAGTATGTTATTATTCAACTATTACTTTAGCTGCTTTACAAATTTTAAATATTCAAAAAAATTTAACAAATATCGTATGAATGATACTTTTGGAAGTATAATTTTTTAAATGGGGAGCAAACTTAATAAGTATTTTACGCTTATTTCTCATATTTTTAGTTTGGGGGGTCTTATTGATCCATGTTTGAAGGATATTGGCCTTCGAAATTTGTTACAATCATTGTATGGTGGACAGATTATAGACTTAGATGATGGATCCAACATTACTACTACTTCTCATCATTTAGCTATTAGAAATTATTTTCATATCTTATATGATGAGTACGCAGCTAGACATGGTGTAGCTGCACAACAATCTGCAGCTTCGGCGCCTTCGAGCTCAAGCCGAGGTAAAAGTATAAGTTTTGATAGGCATGCAATGGTAGCTGAGCTAACTGGTGGGTCTGGACTTGGATCATCGTTGGAGGTTTCTGAAATAGATGAATATTTATCTGCTTCTTTAGTTAAATGTCAAGGAAATGCTTTAGATATTTATAATGGTGAAGAGTATATGGATCAATTTCATATCCTATACTTTCCACCATGGTTCATGACTTACTAACAGTGCAGGTTTCGGCGGTAGCTTCGGAATCCATCTTCAGCACAGCAAGACGTTTGATTGACGACCATAGGACATGCTTAGATCCGTATACTGTACAAGCGGTGATGTGCTTACAAAATTGGTGGAGGTACGAGAAACGAACGCAAGGCATCGATCGGATGACTGGAATTAAAGATAAATTTGAAGAGTTGGGACTAGCAGATAGATATAAAGATTAAACAATATTCATCAAATTGTAATTTTTATTTCTTAGCTTTAAATTTGTAATGAATTATTTTAGAAACAGTTACAAATGATAGTGATATAGGTGAGTAGGTGCCAACCTAGTTGGGATGTACTCATCTATTGTGATGCAACGAATTCCAAAATAAATTTATACTTGTAAAAGATTTATTGATTATTAATAAAGAAGTTATTTTTATCATCTTTTATTTTTATAATTTTTTGTATTTGTAATTTATGTCATTTTAAGTTATTAATAATATGATTGTTTTTATTTTTATTTTCTGTAATTTTTTATGTATATTTTAAATTTTAAAGATATTTTTAAAAATTTTAGAAAAAATAAAAAAACAAAAAACTCGGGCCGGCTCGGAGCCCGGCCCAGGCCCGACGCCCGAACAAAGGTTTTCCAGGCCTGGACGGGCC